GCAGGTAATCAGATAATAGTTCCCAAGTCTGAGGGTCCCTGGGTGAGATGGGTTTTTTTTTTTGGAGGTGGTACTGGGGTTTTGAACTCAGGGCTTTGCACTTGCTAGGCAGGTGCTCTACCACTTGAGCCACATCTCTAGTCTGAGATGTTAAAATTTGGGAGATTACCTGATGAATGTTCTTATATATTTTGACCATAGTTGAATCTTCCTTACAGAAATTTCACACTTAAATAATCTAAAGCTATGACGTGTTTGCGAATACAACGCTTATCTCAGAAAATAGTTTCTCGAAGGGCACAGTAACACAATGAAACCAAAATCTCTCGTTTAGATAGACAAGCTACCAACAAATGTTTCCAAAACAGAAATGATTAAAGTGAAAAAGAAAGTTGTCTGTGGCCAATTGTACTAGTGTGGTATGGAAAACTTTTAGCCTATGTACAAACTCATTTCTACCTACTTACTTCTGGGGTCTTCCCCACTTTTGTTGCCCAGACGGAGAGCAGTGGCTACTCACAGGTAGCCACTACCGATCAGCACAATAAAACCTCCAGAGAGGTCACCATTTTGATGCTGAACTCAGTGTGGACACCAGATCAGTATAGTGAATACAGCAGCAATCCTCCCTCCTCAGCCTCCTCTATGGTTGGGACTATAGTTGTGTGCCATTGTGCTTGACTCTTTGGGGTTTTCATACTAGCCAGAGACTCTTGGTTGACATTCATATTCATTCAGGGTATAGGTAGTCAGGCTGGCCTTGCACTTATGATCCTCCTGCCTCAGCCTTAGCCTCAGCTGGAATTATAGGCAGGCACCTTGCCCGATTTGGTATACTTTAGAGTCTGCTTTTAGAAGTTGCAGAAAAAACATTTGTATGTTTAGGGAAGGTTCACATCCCAACCACTACCCTCCTCAAAACCCACTAAATTTGTATAACCATGTCTGCTGTCAGTGTTGCTTTTTGTTTTTTTTTAAGAAATGGTGATTTTTGTCAGTAAACATTTGCCAATAAAGGCTTGGCTTTTATGCTTAAAGACAAATTCTAATATATTAACATGCACTATCTTTCACTTTAAATCCTCGCAATCCCCGTGAATGAAACCTTTTAAGTATAGGCCATATATGGTATTTTCTTAATAATTCACTGTAGTATTCACAACAAGGTGGTCACTTTTTACAAAACTCAAGTCAATACCAAAAAGTAGATCCAGTTGGACACAGAAGTATATGCCAATAATCTCAGCACTTGGGGGGCAGATGCAGGAGGACCTGAAGTTCCAGGCTAGCCTGGGCCACACAGTGCGACCTTACAACACACAAAAAACCCCAACAAGAATGGCAGATCAACTAAATATTTAGATAGGAAAAATACTAAGACAAACATTTCTTATTTTAACTAAAGGCCAAACTATTCATCTTTAGTATCTGGAAGAGCCCTCTGAAGTCACAGTGCATTTCCATCGACAAATGTTTATTTCTCTATTTGCATTCTTCCAAACAACTTCACTAAAATAAAATAAGTCACTAGAGTTATCACTAATGAATAAAGAGGGCCCAAAACCTGACTATTAAAATTTGTTTTGGGGGATGGAGAACGTAGGTCAGAGTAAAGGCACTTGCCTAGCATGCTGGAGGCCCAGGATTCAATCCCAAACACTGATGAAAAAAAAAAATGTTTTGGCAAAGAGAAGGAACCTAGCACTTGTAGACACAGGGCAGCCTTGCTGTGGTAGCCACCTCAGAAACTACTGAGCAGGAGAATTTACAATCTTAATGGAAAGCCTTACCCCACAGACATGCAAACATGTTTCTTTGGTGACAAGAGGGACTGCATAAAAAGATACAACCAGCTTAATGCAAACAAATACACCTTAATTTCTTGAAACATTCAAAGCACATCCACAATGTTACACCACATATAAGGCAAAACAGTGTGCTTGGTAGCAAGCACACTTTTCAAGTCCACTGGAGATTTAAGTTAAGGGAAGTGATTTTCACTGTTTATCTCCAAATACTAAAAAAACAAATGCTGTAAACTGGCTGCTGGTGACTCATGCCTGTAATCCTAGTTTCTCAGGAGGCAGAGGTCAGGAAGATTGTTGTTCAAAGCCAGCACCAGCAAATAATTCGAAAGACCCTATCTCAAAAAATCCCTTTGGAAGGGTGGCTCAAGGTGTAGGCCCTGAGTTCAAGCACCAGTACTGCAAAAAAAAAAAAAAAAATCTGGTATATGCTTTACCTGAACTCATCTTAAAGTTGAGACAATCACTAAATTAGGAAGCTCAAAAAATACACTTTTTTTTTTTTTGGTGGTACTGGGGTTTGAACTAAAGGCCTGCACTTGTCAGGCAGATTGCTGTATTATTTGAACCACACCCCCAGTCCCCCAAATACACATTTTTAAGTGGAGTCATCAGTTATTTCTAAGTGCTTTGTAATAAATTTTAGGCAAAAGAAATTAAATAATCTACTGATTTAAGACACTCATATTACAAATTCATTGTCACGTGGTTAGCCAACATCTGTCAAAAAATAACTTTTAGTACAAGACTCAATTCCTCATTCTCTGTACAGTATACAAAAAGAATAGTTATTCTCTATTATTGTTCTCTTTCTTCATAAAAATAGAAAAATGTCTCTGCAGTTCATTCTCCTCCAGTATGACTTCTGCTGGAATCGCTGCACTTGGCAGCACTCCTTTGTCACCTCTGTACCACTTCCATGTGGCGTAACTTTGATCCCATTCATCTACTCACCTTTGCTCATTAAAAATAGGAAGTCCAGGCAGGCACCCGGTGGCTTACTCCTGTAATCCTAGATACTCAGGAAGCACAGATCAGGAGATTAGTGGTTCAAAGCCAGCCGGGGGAAATACTTCCATGAGACCCTCTCTTGAAAAACCCTTCACAAAAATAGGGCTGGTAGAGTGGCTCAAGGTGAAGGCCCTGAGTTCAAGCCCCAGTACTGCAAAAATAAATAAATTAAAAAAAAAAAAAAGGAAGTCCATGCACCCACTGCAATCTCTGAAAAGTCACTCCACAGGCTGGCAGCACATTGGAAGTTCAGAGCTAATATTTCAACTCTAGTAAAAATAAACACACTTCTCAGTTCTGTCTTTCAGGAAGCAGACAACAACCTGTTTAATGTACCAACGATCTAAATTTTAAGAAATCTATACAAATAAAAAAATTCTAAGTGCTTAGATGTCATTCTTAATAAACAATGTTACTTAAAGAAAATCCAAAGCATCTTGAAATCTACTTACAGGTTTACAGCAACCTCTCTTCATGGTCAGTCCATAACAGAATTAGGATTATATCCAGGAGCGTGGTCAGCTATACAATGGGGGTTTAAATACACAGTGCTTTTATTTGCACTGTGAAAAATAAACAGCTATTATATTACGTGCCTCTCGGCAGTCAATAGGCTTTATTTACATTGCTTTGAGAGAAGACAAAAGACATCTATCTTTATAATCAACTTACAGCAACACGAAAACTTAAATATATGAAAACACACTTATCTATATAATGATACAAATAAATTGGCAGATAAATAAAGTGACGGTGAAGTCTCCTGAAGTACAGATTTACAAACTGACCACCAGACCCAGAAGTTAAGACCCGTGTGGAGGAACACCATCATGAGGCTGAGAAACAAAACGAAAACACCACTGTCATCAACACGGGAAAACAAAGTAGAAAAGAGCAATACCGGAGAACCTGTGTCTTGCAAAGATTTCTGCAGAAGGTACAGAGACACTTTTCCCCCCGGAGCAAACAAATGCACCCTCAAGTTCTTCCCTGCTCTTGGCCCCGGGCCGGGTGCAGACGGCCCAGGTGGCCTTGCTTTTGCAGAGATGAGGCGTGCAAGTTTGCACTTTTTGGGGAGCAGAGTGCACGGTCCCCCGGCCCCTCTGCCTGCCTCCAAGATGGTAGGAAAGTTGTCGTTTAGGAGGGCAGAGGAGCCGCTCTGGTGTTATGTCCTCGCAGTGCCTGTAGTGGTGCTGTAGGAGGCTGCTGCCTCTTCTTGTGCAGCCCCGGCAGCCCTGCCTTCTTGGCTGGAGAGTATATTCAGGGATTTCCCCTTAATAATCACCGACCCTGGGAGCACTTTTTTAGTTTCCAAAATAAAAATATGGTCCTCACCCCTCTTGCTTGACAGGGAAAGGCTCTCGCCGAAGCCCAGGGGGGAGCAGTAGCAGCAGTAACCGAGCTTCCCTAGTCCATTGCCAGCGCCTCTCACTCTGATCTGTCAGCCCAGGGAAAAGGGGGGAAGGAGAAAAAAAAAAAAAAAAAAAAAAAAAAAAAAGCTGCTGAAAGGTAAGCAGAGGCGGCCCCAGGCCCGGCCCACATCCCCGGGCTCCCGTAGGGCGGCGGGCTGGGCCGCGCAGGCAGGGCGGGCGGCGAGCGCGCTTACGTGAGGCCGGGGATTCGCCGGCCCACGCCAGGCCCTGGGCGGAGAATGAAAGGGTGAGTGGGGCCGGCGCTGGGGTGGCGAGGGCCGGGGGCCTCGGAGGCCTGAGCCGGCAGCTCCCGACGGCGGGGGTCCGGCCAAGCCGGGACAGAGCGGGGCGAGCGGCGCGGCCTACGCGGGCCAGGGTCGGGGGTTGTGCGGCGAGAGGGGGGCGCCGGCTAGGCCTCGGGCCGGCGGGCCCTGAGGTGGCCGCGCCCTGCCCCCGCACCCGGGCCTCGGCGCCCCCCGGGGTCCCCTGGGGGCGTCGGCGCGGGACGGCGGCGCCGCGGGCCGACTTCGGCGCGGGCTCCGAGGCCCTCCGGTGGGGCGGCAGGCCCGGGCTGCCGGGACAGGGGAGTCAGGGCCTCGGAGGAGCATGGGCGGCCGCCCCCGCTTTCCGTGGGTGTCTCGTAGACGCCCCCCGGATTCTGGTAACCCTTGAATTTATTTCTCCCCCTCCTTCGCGCTCGGGGCGGCCAGGCCGGGGCGGGGCGGGCAGCCTGGCGGGCGTGGGGTGGGGTGGAGGGCGGTGAGGAGTCAGGTGCAGCCGCGGCCCGGAAAGTTTCCTTTTAGGCCCGAATTGGGGGCTGCCCTGTGCGTGGGGAGCCCCGGCTCTGGGTCCCGGGCCCCCGGAGGGCGCGGGGGAGAGCACTCGGCTATTTTGAAACTCTTGGCCAGTTCCGTCCATTGAAGGTACTCCGCCCTGCGCCCCTCGCCCCCGCCGCACCCCGCTCCCCGCCAAGCCCTTTCGGGGTTGCAAACTCCAGCCGGTCCCCGGAGCCGCGGGCCGGGGAGAAGCCTTCTCTTCCGGTTTGGAAAAGTTTTCCAGGGGTTTTCCTTAGCGTTATTAGTTAGTGACTGGGCTTTTTGGGGTGGGGAGGGAGGAGGTGGCTTCAGGTGGTGTTTCTGCGGCACAGCCTTCGCCCAGCGCCTGTTTTAGCCCTAACCCCACAAACCCGGAGTGTTGTTTTCAGATTTTTACGCCCCATTCCCCCCACTCCGACTCTTTTGGGGTCCTCAGGCCCCCTGGCCGGGAGAAAGATGAAGGAGACTGTCACTAGAGGGGCAGGACCGGGCGGGATGGCTGGGGCAGCCCCCAGATGAAGGAGTTTTCCTTCTTCCTTGGTCACTGTCCTGGAACCAAAGCCATGGGGACACTGCTTGTCAGGTTGCCTGGGAGCATTCAGAATTGGGGACAGGGAGGAAGGGGAGGTGGGCAGGCAGCTCCTCAGCCAGGTCTACCTGCAGTGCAAGAGTCAGTCACTTCTTTATTCTGGTAATGATTATTTAGATTTATGTGATATTTTTATATTTCACCCTAGAAATAGATTTTTTTTTTTTTTTGAGGAAACTTAAACTTGTGATTGCCACAACTCAGGATTTGTGGAAGAGCCCTTTGAGAACTACACATTGGTTTTGAGCTTTTATTTTCTGTGTAAATGGATTCAGTTTTAGTTCTATTTTGGTGCTACAAACTCTGAAATTTTCCTTTTTCTTTTTTTGCAGTGTAGTAAACTGAAGTTTCCAAATCTCAATTTCCCGCTTTTCAAGGATAGGATGTTTCCTGTGGCTATGGCTTAACCTCCTCCTGTTTGTCCTTTAGTGTTCAAGTTGAAATGTTAATGGAGCCTTCCACCCCCATCCTCAGTGTGGGCTGGTAATTTTTTACTTTTTCATTTGTCCTTTCTCCTCTTTCCAGTGAGCTTGTGTGTGTGTATCCTGCTTGGTGGCAGGGTGGACATTGCTGACAGAGGTGTTGTACACTCTGACCTTTTAACCTGTAGGGCACTTGAGCAGTGGTAACCCATGACTTTGTCAGCCCTGATTTCTGTCAGGTACCTATCCAGCTGAGACTCCTTATGTCATTCTTACCAAGTATGTCTGTCTGACTTTTCCTTTTGTCCTCCTGAAACTGTTCTCATATAATGATGGATAATCAGCCTTTGAGCATCGTGCTTCAGAAAGTCTTGTTTGTGGAAGATTGTTTGGATTTGATACCAAAATGCAAATTACATTAATGGTTGTTTTAACTTTATTGATTAATTGAAATTGCTTTTTGACTTGGGCATTTTCATAAAAATGTGTACAAAAATCATTACTTCTGTTATAGTTTATTATTTTTAGAGGATACTGCCTAGAAAAAAGTCTTTCTGAGTCCCTTTTCCCAGAATGCTTTAAGAGTTGAAAGAAATTTTGTTGTTGCCTCATAATTTGATATTTTAAATACATATTTTTATCTTCATATTCCTAAACTTTATTTTTTATTTTTTATTTTTTGATGGAACTGGGGTTTCAACTCAGGGCTTCACACTTGCAAACCTCTCCAGCCACACCCCCAGACTATTTTGCTGTGGTTATTTTAGGGATGTTGGGGCTGGCCTTGAACTCTGATCCTCCCGATCTCAGCCTGCCAAGTAGCTAGGATTACAGGTGTGAGCCCCCGGTGCCTGGCGTATTCCTCAGTTTTCAAAAACTGCATCTGTACCATAGCTGTGTGGTGGGCGTATCCGTCAAACCCAGCACAAGGGAGGCAGAGGCAGGGTTGTGAGTTTGAGGCCAGTTTGGGCTAAGCAGCAAGAGCCTGTCCCAAAACCCACATAAATAAGTTGGAAGGCAATGTACTCTTTCAGTTTTAAAGGTTTAGTTTAAAAAGTAGGTGTTTAATTTGTAAGTCTGAAGTAATCAAGTTTTCTTTTCTCTGGAAGATTTTATAAAGGAATTTGTATGTGCTATTCCAATTATTTTTCTCAGCAAATCATATTGCTGTCTTTAGAGAAATGAAAAATTGAGTTTACATAGATTTAAAAATTTCAAAGTCTGAGTACTCAAAATTGAAAATGTCATTTCAAAAAAATGCCTACCGTTCATTCGTATGTGAGATGTTCCCCGGGGTTAGCACCTCTCCCTACCCAGGTTTGATGCACTGGTTATAGATAGCAAAAGACCATTGGCTGTTTATATCAGAATGCAGTTGCATTCTCAGACTAGTAACCCCACCCTTGTAAAAACCCTCACTCTGATCACTTGTAAACAGTAGGTGAATAAATGAGTGCAAATTATCACTAAAGCAGATACTCCACTGTAAATATAATGGAGTCATGTCTAAGTCCCTTTAACTTACGCTAATGTAATTGTGTTCCTTAAAACAGCAATAGAGAGGCCCTGACTGTACAGGCTGATTTTAGACAATGTTCCTGGCTATTTTGAGATTCTTGTGGAGAAACTCAAAGTTAAAATTTTAGGCTCCCCTCTTTTCCCTCCTTCACTTAAGTGACAGACTACTTGGTTCTTTTTCTTTTACAAACGTGGCTTGTTTTTAGGGCTGATTTTCTTTCTTTCTTTTGGCAGCACTAGGGTTTGAACTCAGGGCCTCACACTTGCTAGGCAGGCGCTCTTACTGTTTGAGTCATTCCACCAGCCCTGATCTCTGCCTTCTAAGTAGCTAGGATTACAGGCGGGAGCCACTGCAACCGGCTGTTAGGACTGATTTTGATGAAGTCTTTCTGTTGTGACTTCCCACAGTCATATATGGTTAGACTAGGCTTTGAGTTCTGGTCCCAGGTCTTCCACTGGGCAGGTTACTTAATCTTTGGTTTGTTTATCTGGAAGTGGAAATATAATTCTATAACGTAAAGATTAGGTGACCGCTCCATATATTTGACTGATCACGGGTACTCATGTAACGTTAGTTCCCCTAGCCCACCCTCTTTGTAGTAGCATCATCTAAATACTGTTTCTCTTATTTTTCAACTAGGGTTTGAACTCAGGGCTTTGTACTTGCAAAGCAGGCAGTCTACCAGTTGAATCACACCGCCAGTCCATTTTGCTCTGGTTAGTTTGGAGATGGGGGTCTCACAAACTGTCTGATCTGGCTGGCCTAAACAGCGATCTTTTGGATCTCAGCCTTTCAAGTAGTTAGGATTATAGGCATGAGCCACCAGCACCCGCTGTTTGCTTCTTTTCTAATGAAAAATAATACATGCTTATACTATATTTGGAGAATAGACCTGTTTGTCCTACTCAGGGGACACTAACTGTTAACATTTTAATGCGCTTTCTTTCTGTGTTTGTGTGAGTGTGTGCACACAGCATAAACATAAGCTGAGGTTCCTCCAGGCAACAGTAGTTGTGTAGTTTTGTTTTGATGAAAATCTTGGGCTCTGAAGTTATATTGACTTTGAATCCTAGTTATGTGACGTTGGATAAGTAAAATTAGTCTCATTAGGTCTCAGTTTCTTCATCTGTGAAGAGGGTGGTAGTAGGTATCTACGTCATAGGATTGCTGTGAAAATGAAGAGGAATGGGGTATCAAGCCTTTCTCTCCAGTGGTTCTGTTGCGTAACCTTCACATCATGTTTTCCTCTAAAGATTTTTAATACTCTTGATGGGAATTTTTAACATGTTCTTGACTCACTATATATTAATAATACTAAGAAATTGTACAGTATATTCATAGAGTTTCAGCCTAGTCTGTGCTGTGGAATTCTGTGAGTCAGGAGTGGTAAGTAAGTACACCATAGGTAAAGGAGGAGGTGGGTTTAGTTTAATCCTAGCCTTGCCCTTTAAGATTTTGCAGTTATTTATATGGCTCTGGAGGTCTGAGTAGCTGCTGGCCTCAGTTAGGCTCACTTAGGAGTGTTTACAGAGAAGATTGGACGAACCTTTGCAGGGAATTGCAAAGACCCATTCCCTGCCCATGAGGAGTTTTTAGTCATTGGAGAAGAAAAATAAGCCCATATTTACAACATTGAGTGATAAGGATGGGCTGGCACAGGAAGAAACCTAGTTTTCTCCTCTGGCCTAGGGGCAGGCCCTAAGGCTTTGCTGAAGAGGTTTTAGTCCTAAGTGAATGGGAGGAGTTAGGTATTCATAAACGCTTAGTGACAAAAGAGTGTTCTGTGTTGCAAATTTTGTTTCTCTGTGGCCCTGGAACATAGAGAGTAGGAGAATAAATGGTGAGAGGAGAGGTCAGCCTGGTCTGGGCAAAACAAGTTTCTGTGCTAGGTTAATGAGTTTAGATTTCTTTTAAATTTATAAGCAGACCCTGAAGGCCTTTGGCCAAATAAATTATTTAGAATTTAGAGGATTTGGGTTGTATAAAGAGTGGAATGAGGAGGGCAACACTGGAATTAGGCCTGTGAGGCAGCTGCTGAGAAGAGAGTGAAGAGGGTTTGAACTAAGGTGGCTGGCAGTAAGATGGAGAGGAAGAGTGACAGAGGCAGGCTGAGAAGGTAAGCAGGCTGCAGAGGATGGCCACGTGGAGACGCGGGTATCACGCTCAGCTGGTACTAGGTGGTAGTCGGAGGTAAATGGGTTTAGACAGTAGGGTGTAAGAAAAGGGAAGTGCACCTTTGTGCATTGACAACTGTATGTTTCTTGTTTACCTCAGGTAATAACCTCAAGACTTAGGGAAGATGCAGAGTGAAAATGATAATAAAAGCCTTTAGAGATGTTTTGTCAGGCTTTTTGTGTTTGTGCGTGTCTTAATTACTGCTGTTTTATAGAAGAGGCTTGTGGGAAATTTTGGATTTTTTTTTGGTGGGACTGGGGTTTGAACTCAGGGCTTCAAGCTTACAAAGCAGACACTTCATGGCTTGAGCCACACTTTCTGTTCATTTTGCTTTGGTTATTTTGGAAAACGGATCTTGTGAACTATTTTCCTGGGCCGCCCTTGAGTGTCTATCTTCCTGATTTTATCTTCCCAAGTAGCTAGAATTATAGGCATTATCCATGTGCTAGCAAATTTTGGATTTTTTTTTTTTTTTTTTTTGTGGTACTGGGGTTTGAACTCAGGGCCTCACGCTTGGTAGGCAGGTGCTCTACCACTTGAGCCACTCTGCCAGCTCTGTTTTGTATTGGATATTTTTGCAATAGGGTCTCAAGAACTATTTGCCTGGGCTGGGTTTGAACCTCGATTCTCCTGATTTCTGCTTCCTGAGTAGCTAGGATTACTGGCTCCCTGTGAGTCAGTGCCTTTAGATGAGCTAAGTTTGCTAGTTTTTCCCTGACCCACTCTGGTGACTCCTGTAAGCATTTCAGTCTTGTGCCCCTATAAACTAAAAGAACTTTGGAATATTGACATGTAAGTGTAGGGGCAAGAGAAGGGCAGAAAGAAAGTCACTGGGCCCTGTTCAATTCCCAATACTGCCAAAAGAAAAAAAAAAAAGGAAGCCAATGACTGAGCACCCTGGAGGGATTTTCAAGAAGAGAAAGTTGTCAAGGTCCTGCTTCAGAGACATAGAGTAAAGAAGAGGGAAAAGTTTATGTGGAATTTGGTAACAAAGAGGCCATTAGTTTCAGATTCTTAGAACAAAAGAACTTTGAGGAGTGTAGCTACAACTTAGTTTTTCTCCATTCTTGTCCTGTAATGTAGGATTTTTGCAACAATAGTGATTGTGACACTGATAGGAATTTAGAAAGCATTTGGTTGAAAAGGGTTATTAACTGGAGCTAATAAATGCTCTCAAAGACTGTTTTTTTTGGAACTTAGGGCCTCATGTGTGCTAGTACACTTCTAATACTACCATCACAAGAACATCAGAATGTAAAAGTTCTATAGAATGTGAAGTGGTTTTTATTTTTTTTTTGGTGGAACTGGAGTTTGAACTCAGGACTTCATGCTTATAAAGCAGGTGTTCTACCACTTGAACCACGCCTCTGGCCCTAAAAAAACATTTTAATATAGATCACAGGAAAGAATTCTCTGTAGAGTCTGTGAAGCTAGCCCCAAGAAGGTGGGAGGGCCTGAATTAATGGAGATTATACTGCTGCATTCACAAAACGATAAGCAGCTGCAGAGGGCATTTTAGCCCTGCAGATTCTAGATTAAAATGATAGTACTAATAAGCTACTACTTACTGTTTCTAATAGTAGTTAACACTAAGTGATTACTATATGCTGGATACCATGCTAAGCATGGTTCATGAAATACCTAATTTAATTCTCCTGAGCAATTCAGTGAGGTACATACAGATGAGAGAATTTACCAGATTTGAGCCCCATCCCTGATTCCCACCAGAGCCCATGAATGATCTCCACTGCTGCATCAGTCATCCTTACCTTTCTGATCTATCAGAAAAGGAGCTAGTGTGAAGGTCCTTTAAAATATTTTAATTTAAATAAGTAATGCAACTTTCCTGGTGCTGTTTGGCCAGTCTTTGGCATGTAACAGACATTTAATAAGCATTTATTTTTAAATAATCTATTTTGAACTTTAATTATTATGCATGTTTATATTTTTGGGTGACAGGCAGTTTTCTCACTTTTTTTTCTCTTTCAGTTATGGATTTTCATCATTCTTCAAATTTCACTACTGTTTGTCTTGATAGTGTGAATGTTAAGTTTTTTAATTAGTGTATTCACCTTTTTAGCTACATTTACTTTTTTAATTTTTTGCTCTATCATGTTGAATTACCTCTCATTTTAAAAACGAGAACATGGCTGGGCACCATTGGCACATGCCTGTAATCCTAACTACTCAGGAGGCAGTTTGAAGCTAGCCCAGGCAAACAGTTCTCGAGACCCTAACCCGAAAAAAACCCATCACAAAAAAGGACTTGTGGAGTGGCTCAAGGTGTAAGCCCTGAGTTCAAACTCTAGTAATGGAAAAAAAAGAGAGAACATGAGGGAAGAACCTTTTTAAGACTGTAAAGCATGGGAGCTGGTGAAATAGCTTAAGTGATAGAACGTCATCTGCCTAGCAAGTGTGAGGCCCTGAGTTCAAACCCCAGTACTGCAAAAAAAAAAAAAAAATTGAAAAAAGACTTTATAGCATTGAAACTCTAAATGTGATTGTAACAGTAGCCCCTCCTGGGATAAGTGAGAATTCTTTATATCTGCATTAAATATAATGTTCTGACAGTTTGAATTCATTCTAGTTTAAAAAATAATTTTAAGTATTTTGTAGGGTTTATGCTCTTTAAAGGTGTGGAGTATGAAATTACAGATGGCAATTAGACGCCGTGGCAGTGAAATGAGCATCTTTCTGAAACAAGAATCAAAGAACAGTAATGGCATGCAGAGACTCCACGTGGAGGTGATACGGGGTGGTCCACAGAGAGTAATTGTTATGTTGTGCCAGATTGTTCTGCGGTTGCTACTGCAAGGCTGAAAGGGCCATTGGTTGCTTTTGTAAAAGCTTAGCTTCCTTTTCTCACTGCTAATATTTTGTCCTCTGTATTTGTAAAAAGAGAGAAACTATAAAAATTGTTTACCAGTTAAACTCAGCATACAGTATAAAGAAGGATTTTTTTTAAAGATTTTACATCTTATCATATTTCCTTCTTTTGAGCTGCAGGACATAGATCTGTTTGCTATGGGTATATTCTTTCTATGGGCCTTGAATGTTGTCTGTTCAGTAATACTTATTTCTACATTTTGGTAATACTACATAAATGTGTTTATTTTGCTGTTGCTCTGAAGTGCTTAATTGCCTGTATTTTCCCTTTTAAGAGGGCAGAGATTCTATAAATTCTAAGCAAGTTGTCTTCACAGCTAAAGATGATAACTATAGTAAATTTAGTCTTATGATTTTTTTCTTCCTTGTTAAAGTGATTTTCATCAGCTATTAAAAGGCAAAGCTTAGTTTTACCTATTTGTTGTCATGGATTAGAAAATATAATTAATCTCAGTGCCTTACACATGCTAGGCAAGCACTCTACTACTGAGCTACACCCCAGCCCAGAAAATGGTATTTTTTAAGTCTTAGGGCCTATAAGACATTTAATTAATATTATGTGGACTATGTATATATATATATACACACACACACACACACACACACACACATATATGTTCATATGTTTCTTTGTTGTATCTCACATTGAATGCCAGAATGAAGGTGATGTGAATTTTACCTTTGGTAACGGGTAGGGGGAAAAAGGTCCAGTTGTGGAAGGCTAGAGGTAAAGAATGAAAAACAAAACAAAACACTCCAGAGGTTTTTTTTCTCTTGAGAATTGCCCTAGTGCTTTTTTTTTTTTTTTTTGCTGTGCTGGGGCTTGAACTCAGGGCCTCACACTTGCTAGCCAAGCTCTTGCCACTTGAGCCATTTCATCAACTATGCCCTAGTGCTTTTGTCATAATTTCTTAATTTAAAAAGGTAACAAGTGTGAAGCCCTGAGTTTAAACCTCGGTACCACCAAAAAAAAAAAAAATTATTTACTTATATAGAAAAGACCACATGAGCACATGGGTAGTTGTTTCCAGCTTATAAAAAAAGTGCTTTTGATATTAAAATAATCATTTAGAAGGAAGTTGGAGTTCAAAACACAGGGCCATTTTCACTCCCCTCCCTCCCTTTTTCTCCCTTCCTTTTTTTCAGGATGGTTTGGCTACCACTGTGCTATACCCCAGACTATTAAAAAATTTTAAATCTTATAAATTATACTAACTTCTCTTGGTGTATGTCTGTAGCTGTTAGAAATCATTGTGTAGACTGAAGTACTATAGTGTTTTTTTTAAAAAAGAATTACTTAAATGCTAGAGCTCTTACCTAGCATGAGTGAGGCCTTGGGTTCAATTCCTAGCACCAAGAACAAACAAAAAGAATTATACAATCAGGAATAAATGTAGTAATCTTTGAATAGACAACATGGAAATAAGAATTACTGTTAACAGCTAGGCGCCAGTGGCTCTTGTCTATAATCCCAGCTATTCAGGAGGATGGAGGTTTGAAGCCAGCCTGGGCGAATAGTTGTGAAGACCCTATCTTGAAAAAGTTTATCACAAAAAAGAGCTGGTGGAATGACTCAAGATGTAGGCCCTAAGTTCAAGCCCAATTCCCCCAAAAAAGAGTTAGTGTAACAGAATCTATTATGCATTCAGTATGTACTTACTGAGCACCCATTACCTTCTGGTTCCTGTGCTCGGCCTAGGGATATAATAATGCACAGAAGGCCGGTGGTCTCTGTGGGAGCTTGTTTTTTAGCAGGGAAGACAGCAGAAGAGCAGGCAGTTAAAATAGATTGTGCTGATATGAGTGCCCAAATGGGGAAGTACACAAAGCGCCTCAGAGTAGTATGTAACTAACTGAGTTTGGGGGGTTCTGCCTGTGGTGATGAGTAACCTGTATTTTTAAGGACTAGACTGTGGCTGATTTGAGGAGTGGAGCACTGTGTTGAAAATAAAGAAGGAAGAGGTCCATTATTCAGGGCAGATGGTACAGTCTGTTCTTAGGTTCAGTGAAAGTAGAGAAACTTGGGTGTCCAGAGCTGTGAGTAAGGCCTCCTCCACCCCTTTATACATTTCCTTTCTTTTTTTTTTTTTTGGCAGTCCTGGGGCTTGAACTCAGGGCCTATACCTTGAGCCACTCTGCCAGTCCTTTTTGTGATGGTTTTTTTGGAGATAGGCCTCTCAAACTATTTGCCAGTCTAGCTTCAAACTGTGGTCCTTCTCTTCTCTGCCTTCTGATTAACTAGGATTATAGGCAGAGCCACTCACACCCGGCTTCTTTCTTTCTTTTTTTTTTTTGTGGGGGGAGGTAATGGGGTGTGGCTCACTGGTAAGAGTGCTTATAGTTAGACAAACATTCATAGTAATCTTTGTATCCCAGCACCATAAAAACAAACAAACAAGCAAAAATACTTGCTAGCAAGTGCAAGACCTTGGGATCAATCTGTAGTACCACCAAAAAAAAAAAAAAAAATCACCCAAAATAACAAAAAAACCTGGCCTGTTGGTACATGGCTGTAATCTCAGGGAAGCAGAGGCAAGGTGATCCCAAGTTCAAGGCCAGCCTGAGCTACATGGTGAGTTTAAGGCAAACCTGAAATACATAGGAAGACCCTGTCTCAAAAACCAACAAAACAAAACTTTTCAATTCTTAGCACTGTAAAGAACTTAGAAAAAAAATTGTTATTTATTTATTGTTTTTGTGGTATAGGGGCTTGAACTCAAGGCCTTCACCTTGAGCCACTCAACCAGCCCTGTTTTTGTGAAGGGGTTTTTGAGACAGGGTCTCTCGAACTATTTTGCCTGGGCTGGCTTTAAACCGCCATCCTCATCTCTGCCTCCTGAATAGCAGGATTGCAGGTGTGAGTCACCAGCACCTGGCTGTGATGGGTATATTCGAGATAGGGTCTCAAGAACTATTTGCCCGGGCTGGCTTTGAACCATGATTCTCCTGATATCTGCTTCCTGAGTAGCTAGGATAAGAAAAAAGTTTGAAACAACATTTTGAAATGAAGTTTTACATTGATAGCAAATTCTTTTTTGAAAGCTTAGATTTATTAAGATGCTATTAGAAGGGGAGACAGAGAATATGATTACATGCCTACAATATGTCAATAAAAAGCAAATGTTGCTCTTCATGTCCCTCCATCCCTGCCCTCAGACTTCCTTCTATGAGTCTAAAATATTCTTGTACTTGTTACATGTAAGCTGCTTTTTTCTTTTTTCTCCAAAGCAATCAAATTGGTCCTGTAAATGACTTTTTAAACTTATATTCAGGGCATTTAAAAAAAATTTTTTATTGAACTTCATATGGACTTGAACGAATTTTGTGAAGTGTTTGTCAGGTGGGTGAGTAGTATAAAGACTGTAACAATAAAAAACATCATGGTTTTGCTTTGATATATTTCCTGTCCTGAATAGTCAGACCTCTAGGGCAGCTAAATTTAAATTTTAGTCCAACTTTTCTTTTTTGCATCCTAATAGGGTGAAAAGAGAAAACACTTTGTTTTACATTGGTCTGTGATTAGATTTGTTTGCTAGTGCATGCGATTTCTATTAACTAAATTAATATTTTAGATTTTTTTTAATACTAATGTAAGTGAAATATTTTCTGAAGAACAATAGAAATGCTCCACCATTATCCCTGGCAGATGGAATGTGTAATATGACATTAACGTTTATGAGTAACTTCCATTTGTCCAGGGATTACCATGTGCTAGGCATGATACTAGTTTGCTGCATGTTTTATTATTTGCTCCTTAGAACAACCTAGCAATAACATAGCTACTGTTATCCTTGTTTTGCAGATGAGAAAACTGAGATTCAGAAAGGTTAAATGATTTGTTCAAGATAACACAGTAAGTGGCTGATTTTGGACTTGACTAACCATGTCTTCTGAAACCTCAAGCATTTAAGTATCGTGTTATTCATTGTTGTAGGAAATTTCGTTTCTTTTTCCTTCCTCCCTCCCTCCCTCTCTTCCTCTCACTGATTCTCTCTCTTTCCCTCCCTCTCTCTTTCGTTCTTGTTGGGGTTGAACGCAGGGCTTTGCACATGCTAAGCATGCACTCTTCCCATGGAGTTACTTCCCAGCGATACTCACTTTTAAAGGATATTTCTTGAGTTTTTTGGTACCTGGTATCTAAGCTGTTTCAGTTAGCTAACTGGGTGGTTTTGGGAGGGTGGGTTAGGCTACATTCGTTCACTAAGACCCTTCTGAATTCACAAAGTTGATTCCATGTTATAGATTGTATGTTATATAAATGCTACCCTTGGTCCTTTTGTGTGTAGAAGGGCAGCGAATATTGTATGATTTCTTCTTTCTATGTTCTTAGGGAATCTCAAAAGAGTCAAACTGTAATTATTCTATTTTGAGTGATTAGGAGCTCCATGTGGTGCAAAGCATTGACCAAATGATATAAATATGGTTGAGTGGCCAGTCTTTGGGTTCAAGAAGCTTAGAACTTGGACGGGATAGATGTGATGGAATATTAGAAGGAAAGTGATATATTTTTTAGAAGCAGAGATTTGTTCTATTTTGTATGTCACAAAAACGTTTGTCACAAATTGTCAAATATTCTGACAACGTATCAAAAAAATGTAGAATTTCTACAGTTCATTCCATTGGTATGATAAAGGGATCTGGGTTCTGAAAGTAAGCATAGCATGCAAACAACAGTAGAGAAATGAAAAACCCTGCACCTGTGACGTTCATTTGGTGGAAGAACTCTGCTGCTTTGAGGTATTCACAAAACCTAACCAGAGCATAATTTGGTTCAATGGAGGAGATAAGGCAACATGTTTTATAATGCCTCTTATTTTCTTAGTTGACCTCTTTATTGGGATGTTGGATTATAATGAAGAATTCATCATATTAGAAAGGGTGATGCCGCAATATTTTATGTTCTGGGTGAACTGGCTTTGCTTATGTCTATTCGTTAACTAGGCCTTTTGATGTTTTTGTAGACAATCTGCTTCATCTTGATTCAGCAGCATTCCAAACTGTGGTATTTTTGGGGTTCTCTTAACGTTGCTATGGTGCAGAAGATTTAAAATCAGGTATGGCTGTGGGGCCAGAAGCCCCTCAGTGAAATTCTCAATTTGAACTTACCTTACACTCTCTGATCTATCATTTGTGTTTTTTTTTTTTCCATGGCTTATAGCTGATGTTCACAAGGAATAGAGTCACGTGATGTATGAAGGGAAACATATACACTTCTCTGAGGTTGACAATAAGCCCTTGTGCTCATATAGTCCCAAACTGTGCAAGCAACGGCGTCTCAACGGCTACGCTTTCTGTATCAGACACGTTCTGGAGGACAAGACTGCCCCCTTCAAGCAATGTGAATATGTGGCCAAGTATAACAGCCAGCGCTGCACCAACCCCATCCCCAAATCAGAGGATCGCAGGTAAGAGTTACCAGTAGAATCAGTTCTTCATTTTGTTAGCAGTCTTGGGATTTTTCTGTGTCTTCTCCCCTCATCCTTGTTCTCTCTTTCTTCTGATGTGGTGAATTAAAGTGTTGAGTTCTGTGGGTAATCTAAGTAAACGCTGGAATATTTCTAAGATGAGAGATGGCAATTTCTTTTTTTCCTTTTAAAAAACTTTTCTTTTGAACTATATGTTAGTTGTATAAAGAAGTTTCACCAGTAGCATTTCCATTCATGCATTTATTTTACTTTGGTCAAATTAAAGCCCTCTGTTACTCTCTTTTCTCATCTAGCCTTCTCCCACTAATCTTTTCTGAGCAGTTTTTAGTCAGTTTCGTTATGCTGTTTTCATACATACATGTACAATGTAGTTCAATATAACAGTTTCCTTTAAATGATTAGCAAATATGAGGGTTTATGCCAAAGTATGTTCGAGTGTTTTCTTCTTTTTATTGATTTCATACTTTTCTAGAATTACTAAAAAAATACTTTTTCCCTGAAAATTGCTGCTTGAATCCTTGGTGCTGATTTGTTTGGTTGCGGCCATAAAAAGTAGTTTCTGACTTCTCTATCATCTGCCTACCGATAGAAATTATAGGAACTGATTAAGTGTCATGATTGGTAATAATTTGGGTTTTTTAAATCTGTGCTTGAAAGGTAATAAAGGATATGTACTTAGTTGAAAAAGAATTTAAGATGTTATTTAAATCATTCAGAAGATGCATTTGCAAACATACTTTTAAGTAGTATCTGGCATTGTTTTATAATCTTGCCTTTTTTGGTTAAAAAGTGTTCTGAATAGATTATGTTTACCATAATTTAGAAACTGTATTTTCACTTGAAGAGTAGGCTTTATCCTCAGTATTATGAATTTATGCTATGCTGAATTTAAAAAATAGTTGGGTTATTTTTAAGGAAGGAGTCTTACATTGGCTGTCTTTCATATTTTTAGGAAAATGAATGCTTTCACGTATAATCTCTTCTTGCCTTTTTCTTTAATCCTCTTTATAGGGAGATGCATGCTTGTTTTCCAAAAGTTTTAGATTCTTGTTATCTTTAGGTAGAAAATTTAAACCTTTTACTTCTATGTTAACCACACTCGTGCACACACACACACACACACACACACACACACACACACACACACACACACATCCATGTTCCTGAAATACAAATGCATCTGCATAAATTGGATGAAAAAGAGTCATGTGTTTTTATGTCACGATAAGCACTTTTTTTACTTTCATATGAAATAAATAGTTTGTATTGGTAGAGGTCCCACCAAAATGAGTACATATAATGTGGTGATTTGGGAATACTCCTTTAGAATTCCTAATGAGCACTTAAGGCTTCAAATTACAATATCTGAAAGTTAGAAACAGCTGCTTAGTGAGGCAAGGAATAAAATTTTAATCTCAGGTGAGAAAGGGACCTGCGTGTTAGGTTAAACGTATCTGTCTAGCTGGTTTTAGCTGACTGGAAATGATGATTTTTTTTTACCCTTGCCTCTTTTAACATGAAGAATTGCTGGGCTTGTGTTAATTTTTTACCTCAAGTTCCAGTGTAAACACAGCTCTGTGATTTTGTCTTAAATTCAGTTTATCACAGTTGCAGTTGTCAACCTGGGATTTATTTTTTCCATTTGAGCTATAGCAAGTGTTGTCTTAGTAGTTGGCATCAAGAACTGAATGGAGAGTCCTGAATATTTTTAAAATACTAATTCTCTTAAGCATCTGTCTTCATATTTGTCTTTGAAGTAGCTTTTTCTCTTTAGAACAAGTTAAGAAAGGAAAGGGCTTTTGTGTTCTGTGTCCAGAGTAGCTGTGTTTTGTAAGTACTAAGCTGACAGGAGATAATGGTTCATGCCTGTAATCCCAGCACTTGGTGGAGGGAAGAGGACTGAGAGTTCAAGACTGGCTTGGGCTACAATAGTAGACCCTGTCTCAAAAAAAAAAAAAGTATTGTACAGTTTTTTCAAAATTATTCCATGACCACTGAATGCAAATGATTTTTGTTGTTTATAGGATTATCTGCGAATAGGTTAAAGTGAAATCAGAGGAGGTAATATTCTTTTTTTTGACTGTACTGTGGTTTGAACTCAGGGCCTCATGCTTGCTAGGCAGGCACTTTTACCACTTGAGCCATTCCACCCACCCTTTTTTGTGATGGGTGTTTTTTTAAATAGGTCTCTGAAATAGTTCTCCTGATCTCTGCCTCCTGAGTAGCTAGGATTACAGGCATGAGCCACTGGTGCTTGGCAAATCAGCTATTTTATGTAATAATAATAATAATAATATATTATTTATTTATGGTACTGGGGCTTGAACTCATGGTCCCACAGGCACTGTACCACTTGACCCTCTCTGTGAGCCCTTTTTTGTGTTGGTTTTTTTGAGATAGGAATGCATGAACTATTTGTCTGGACTGGCTTTGAACCTCGATCCTCCAGATCTCTGCCTGCCGAGTAGCTAAGATTGCAGGCATGAGCCACTGGTGTTTAGCAATAAATATTTTTCTTTTTTTTTTAATTTTAAGACGATTTTTGAGACAGGTCCTCACTAGTTAGCCCAGGCTGGCTTCAAACTCACTCTGGAATCTGGGCTGCCCTTGAACTCACAATTCTGCCTCATTGTTCCTGTTGCTGGGATTACAGGAATATACCACCATACCTGACCCTTTAATAGATGTTTTGAACTTAAATTTGCTATGGTATATAAATTTAATAGTACATATATGTCAAGACATTTTCTTATTTCCTGTACATTTATTTTTAGAAGTATCTTGAGATATGATTCACATGCTATATAGTTCATTCATTTAAAGGGTGCCATGCAGTATATTTTACTATTTCACAAGATTATATAATCATCACCACAATGTAATTTTAGGACATTTTATCCTCCCCAATGGACTCCTATACGCATTAGGAGTCATTTTCCCCATCCTTGTTCCTTTAGAATAGAAATGCATATTTGTGTACTTATTTTAAATGCTTCTCATAATTAAGTAAACCCTTCTAGTCTACTCATGAAGAATTTACCCTCTCAGAAGAAGCAAGGATTTGCTCTTTCTTTTTTTGTTTTTTTGAGATTGGGCCTCAACCTGTAGGGCAGGCTGGCCTAGAACTGGCTATGAAGCTCAGACTGACCTCAAACTGAGTATTTTCCTGCCTCAGCTTCTCAAGTGCTGGGATTACAGATATGGCCATCACATCAGACTACATGTTGAGATGGTGCCTACGCTGTGGAAGAGGGAGGGAGGGCTGCATATGCAGATTAGCCTATGTGGCCTTCCAGGGGCAGCTCACAGCAGCCTCATTTACCAACTGGGGCTGCCCCTGTGTAGATGAGCAGGGATGTTTGATTTGTAAATTGAAACCAAAAACAACTGAACTTTACCTTTCCCTACTAATAAAAAACCTAATTCATTTGTTTCCTTTTTTTTGTCTTTTCTTTTTCCCTTGTGTACTGAGGCTTGATCCTAGTGCTCACATGGTAGGCAAGTACCCTACCACTGAGCTAGCCCCCAATACTTTACAATTTTATTTTGAGACAGGGTTTTATTAAGTTGCTCAGACTGGCCTTGAACTTTTGATCCTCCTGCCTCAGCCTGAAGAGTAGCTGTGATTATAGATATGCCCACCACACCTGGCTACCATTTACTATTTATTACATTTTTTTTCACTTCTTGGCTATTCCCCCTACCCTTTTCTTTGCTTCCCATTGTCTTCTGAATATTTTGTTTAAACTATACCTGGGACCTAACTGTAACCTGCTAGGTGTGCTCTGTAGAGATGTCACTTGTGCTATAATAAGTTCCTTTTTTTTTTGGTGGAACTGGGGTTGAACTCAGGTCCTTGTGGTTGCAAAGCAAGTGCTGTATTGCTTGAGTCACACCTCCAGTCCATTGTGTTCTGGTTATTTTTGGAGATAGGGTCTTGCTGAGTATTTGTCTAGAACCGATATCCTCCGATCTCAGCTTCCCAAGTAGCACAGGTACAGACATGAGCCATAGGCTCCTGGCAATATGTTCCATTTTCAGATGACTGGGAACCACTGTCAGAGGGGTACATGCCCCTCTTGGAACATTGTTCTTTTTTGGTGGGACTGGGGTTTGAACTCAGGGCTTCATGCTTTCTAGACAGGAATTCTGTCACTTGAGCAACACCTCCAGTCCTCTCTTAAAGCTTTCTGATGTTTCTAATGTTTTGAGAATTTTTCAGCACAGACAAGCAAAAACAAAATTATTGCATAGTTTTGTTTAAGCTAGAAGTTTTCCAGTTTATTTAAGCATGGGATACTGTTTTTGTGGCATACTTGTTAACATATTGTGGAACTATATGAAGAATATGAGTTTGGAGAAGGCTGTTCTGCTGGTCAAATGCCTCCACAAGGTCTCAGTGTGGTTAATTGACATAGCAGGTATTCTATTTTCTTATTAACTCTGTCCTTTCATAGTATTTTAAAAATAGCATTTACATTGCAAAGATAGACTTCTTATTGTTGAAGACTAATTAGAGTTTTGTAAGGTCTGTTTTTAGTTCAAGTCTCAGCCCTGTCACTTTCCACATGGAATGTGGTTTGGGGCAAGTTCATTTCTGTAAAATGTGGTTTTCTTGTCTACATAGAGGACATTATGTCAGTACCTACTCTACATTGGTACTAGAGAAGATATATTCCATGTGTTTGTATTTTTGACTATTGAGAAACTCATTCCTTGCAATTCCACTAACAACTTTTATTCTTTCACTTTCTTCTTCCATTCTCCCTACTTCACCCCCATCCCCATGTGTGAAGCACAGAGCAGACACTTGACATTCTTTAGGATTATATCAAGATCATCATTCGCCAGGTATTCAAATAGTGTTGGAACATACATTTTTCTCCATAAGAGAATTTTTTTTTTTTCAGTACTGGGGTTTGAACTCAGGGTCTACACCTTGAGCCACTCCACCAGCCCTTTTATGTGAAGGGTTTTTTTGAGATTAGGGTCTCACAGAACTACTTGTCTGGGCTAGCTTTAAACTGCGATCCTCCTGATCTCTGCCTCCTGTGTAGGTAGGGTTACAGATGTGAACCACTGGCGCCTGGTTCCATAAGAGAATTTTCAGTGGTCCTCAGTCTCTTGACAAGTTGCTTTGAATACTGTGAATAGGGAGTAATAAAGCTGTGTGAGGAACAACAGAGCTGTTGCCCAGGCCACTTGTCAGCAGACTGACTTGGTACTCTGTGACCACCTCTGTACATGTACAATTCCTATATTTGCCTCAGCAAAATTGCACAGACTTTAGGGATTGCTTGAGAGTAATGGAAATGGAAGTTGCTTTTTTGGTTTTTGTTTTTTTTGCTATAGCCTCTTGCTATGTAGCTCAGGCTGTCCTTGAACTTGAAATCCTTCTTCCTCAGCTTCTCCAGTGCTGTAATTACAACTGTGCACTACAGTGCCCAACATAAAAGCTGCATATTAAATTGACTAATGCCAAGAATTACTAAGGCCATGCAATCTGTCGTTGTTTGGTGATACTAGGGATTAAATTCAGGTCATTGCATTAACTAGACAAGTTCTCTGTGCCATGTAATTTTAATGTATTAGGATTCACTTTTTTTTTTAAATTTTGTGGTCAGAGCTTTATGCTTGCAAAAGCAGGTGCTCTACTACTTGAGCCACAACTCCAGTCCATTTTGCTCTGGTTGTTTTGGAGATGGGTCTCAAGAACTGTTTGCCTGAACTGACCTCAAACCACTATCTTCCCAATTTCAGCCTCCCAAGTAGCTAGGATTATAGGCATGAGCCACCAGCACCTGGCAGATTCATATTTTATAGTTTATAGTTTTATATTCTACTTTTCTTCATATGTTTGATGAACCTTTCCCTATGTCTTTGTGTATTTTTACAGGTACTGCAACAGCCACTTGCAGGTACTTGGCTTTATCCCGAAAAAAGAGAGGAAGAAAAAGAATGATCCTATAGATGAGGTGAAGGTCAGGCACCAGATGGATACCATGGCCTTTAGCCTGACAGTGCCCACGTTGGCTTTGAAGATGCCTAATGGACTGGATGGCATGTCCCTCTCTCCACCTGGGGCAAGGGTCCCTCTCCACTACCTGGAAACTGAGCTGGAAGACCCATTTGCTTTTAATGAGGAAGATGATGACCTAAAGAAAGGGGCAACTGTGAGAAAGAAGTTGCAGAGCAAGTTGGCCCAGAATCGGCAGCGTCAGAGAGAGACAGAGATTTTAAAAATTCGGCAAGAGCACTTTAGTCCCCCTACTGCACCTTCACAGCAGCAGCCTCCGCAGCAGCACTCCCACCTGTCACCTTTATCCACTTCTTTAAAACCTCCAGCGCCACTGCAGGGTTCAGTCTGCAAGTCACCTCAACCTCAGAACACCAGCCTACCAGTGCAGGGAGTGGCCCTCACCACACACACTATAGCACAAGCAAGGCAGTTGTCTCACAAGAGACCTCTGCCCCTTCTGCCATCCAGTAGGGCTCCCATCTCAGACCCACCCAGGACTGACCGGGTCCTCATGAAAGCCACCGCCTTCTCTCCACATTTCTCTTGCATAAGTCGACTGCAGAGACTGGTGAAACTGTGCACTCAAAAACATCAGTTGGACACTGATCTGTTTCCCCATTTAGGTGAGTTATGCATTACCATATCATACATATCATACATGTATGATATAAAATGTGTTCTTGTCACGTGAAGCTTTATTCTCGCAACTACCATGCACCTGATTGGCATAGGATACCTGTGCAGAGTGACATAGTGTAAGACTCTGTACATATGTATTTATGGTTCTATGAGACAGGGTTGCACTGTGTAGCTCAGGCTGGCCTTAAGCTCATTATTTAGATTAGACTGCCTTCAACTTGAGGTCCTCCTGCCTCAGCCTCCCAAGTGCGTATTACCAATTTAGAAATCCAGTTGTAGTTTTTTTTTTTTTCAGATGCAACTAGGGGTTGAACTCAGGGCTTCGTGCTTTCAAAGCAATTGCTGTGCTACTTGAACCACACCTCCAGTCCATCTTCCTCTGGTTATTTTGGAGATAGGGTCTCTTGAACTTTTTGCCTGAGTTGGCTTCAAACTATGATCCTCATGATCTCAGCTTCCCAACTAGCTAGAATTATAGGTGTGAGCCACTGGTGCCTGGCTCTAGTTGTATCTTTTATTAGTAGTAATGCCAGTTTAAAAGGTGACTGTGTTGGCTTGTATGTCTCTATGAGTTTAGGACTTGTGTATTTTATGAAGTTTCTACGCGTGTGTGTGTGTGTGTAGTTTTTTTGTTTGTTTTTTGAGACAGGGTCTCATTGTGTTGCCTAAGCTGGCCTTGAACTCTTACTTCAGTCTCTGGAGTAGTCTCTGGGATTATAGGTGCTCTATGTTTTATATTATAGGACTTTGTCATAATGATAGCATTGTTAATGTCTGCTGATAGTTTTTTTTTCTTTAACCTTCATTTAAGAAAAATTCCCTAAGTAATTTCTATTCATGATTGAAAAGCAAGAAAAACATATATATGGGGCTAGAGGTGTGCCTCAAATGGTAGAGTGTCTGTCTAGTAGGTGCAAAGCCCTAAGTTCAAACCTCAGTACCACCAAAGAAAAGCACAGATAAAAATTTATTGTAATCAAATGTCTCTTTCCTTTGTTGCTTCTAAATCCAGGGTTTTTTTTGTTTTTTTCTCAAGTTTTTTTTGTTTTGTTTTGTTTTTTTAGGCAGGGTCTTACTGTGTAGCTCAGGCAGACTGGCATCAAATTTGTGATCCTCCTGTCTCAGCCCTTTAAGTGCTGGGGTCACAAGCATGTACCACTGTGCCTAGCTTGGTTTTGTTTTGACCATTTAAATTCTTTATTCATTTAGAATTATACTGGTATATGATATGAGCTATCATTCTAACTTCAAGACAAATCATTCATGATATGGTAGCAGTGGCAGTGTGAGCAAAGGGTACGAATGGAAAAAGTCTGAATGGTCGGCAAACTAGTGGAAATCTCAGTGCCCATAGCAGGCAGGGAAATAGAGATCAATACAACAAGGAGTTGGTGAAAATTATATCCATTGTTGGTGGGGATATAGTATTTTATACATTGCTGGTGAGTGGTGTAGCAATATCTACTAAAAAAAAAATACATATATATGGCCAGCAAATGCCCTTTTGGAATTGTATGAATAAATACCAAAATGTAAGAATATGTGTGCAAGGATGCTTCTTGAAGTATTGCTTACATAATTTTCTGCATTAAAAATCTGCAAAGTCCTGAATAACCAATGGAAAACCTTGATAGATTATGGTTCTTACATGTTTTTACGAAATATTAGGCAGCTATTAAAAAGAATGAATGAGTCTTTTCACTGGAATGTACCCATGATTTACCAGGTGGAGAAAGATCAAGAGGTATCATGTTACTCATTTTTTTTTTTTTGATGGTATTGGGGTTTGAAGTCAGAGCTTCACACTTGCTAAGCAGGAGCTCTACCTCTTGAGCCACTCTGCCAGCCTAATTCAATTTTTGTAAAAATAAATAGGCAAAGGACATAAATAAGCACAATAGTATACACATCAATTACTTACATATATGGATGGTTGCCTTTTTGGTGTGAGCATAGATGAGAGTGAAGGGATGTACACAACCAGACTCTTAATTGACATCCTCAGGAAGGATGGCATTGGAGAGGACGCGTTCAGTACTACTTCATCTGTTGTTAAGCCAGGTTTGACTTTTGTTAGTTTAAAAAACTAATAAAAATTAAAATATACATGTGTTCATGCTATTTATAAATATATATATACACATATATATATACGTATATATATATATATGTAGCAAAAATAAAATGCCCCAAGCCTGTTAAGTACTCATTCATTAATATCTTGGTATATTCTTTCAAATATAAAATTAAGTTCCTACCATGCATACATACTGATTTGTAATCAGTTTTAAAAATATATTTTTTTTGATGGTACTCAGGGCCTACATCTTGAGCCACCCCACCAGCCCTTTTTGGTGATTATTTTGTTTTATTTTTTAATCTTTTTTTTTCATTGATTTTTTTTTTCAAGATAGGGTCTTGCAAACTATTTGCAGGGCTGGATTCAAACCATAGGGAAGTGGGGAGAAATGACCCAAACATCATATGCACATATGAATAAAATAAATAAATGAATGAATGAATGAATGACAGTAATAGTAAAAAAAAAAAAAAAAAAAAAACATGATCATCCTGATCAGCTAGGATTACAGTCGTGAGCCACTGGTGGTCAGCTTGGCAAAAAATTTTAATAGTAATATATTTTCAAGTAATAAATTTTCACATATACAATATAATATTTTATGGTGAATTCTGTCTCCAATTTGTCACTTCCAGTTTCTATCATTATAAATTTTTATAGCAAAGTAATTTCTGTCCTATCCTTAAGCAGAAGTAGAATTGCCAGTTTCAAGCCTTTACTTTTTTTTTTTGTGGTGTGGGGGGATTGGGCTTCACCAATGCTAGGCAAGCGCTCTACCACTGAGCTACATATACCCCCAGCCCCCACACCATCCAGCCCCAAACTCACCATCCTTCTGCCTCAGCCTCAGGTGCTGGGATTATAGAACATGCCACCAAACCTGGTTCTCTGCACTTTGAAAAAAAGTTTTGAAGGGTTGCTGTTATAGCAGCTCAGTGGTAGAGCTTGCGCTTAAGCATGTGTGAGACCCTGGGTTCAATCCTAAGTATCCCCTCAAATAGTTTTTGTTATGAGTTGACAATTTTTAAAAATTATTTTGTCAATTTACTCTTTTTAGCAGTGTGAGAGAATGACAGTTTCTTCACATCTCTATTAACCCTGATTATTATTTTGCCTCTGCAAATTTAATAGAAAATCGGCTTTAATATGCATACCTTAGATGAGTAGATCTCAAAACTTTTGGCCTCAGAATCTTTTACATTTAAAAGTTAGATGAGTGCTGGTGGTACATGCCTGTAATCTAGGTCCTTGGGAGGCTGAGATCAGGAGGATCATAGTTTGAGGCCAGCTTGGGCAAATAGTTCATGAGACTCCATCTCCAAAATAACCAGAGCAAAATGGACTGGTAGTGTGGCTTAAGTGGTAGAACACCTGCTTTGCAAGTGCAAAACCCTGAGTTCAAACCCCAGTCCCACCAAAAAAAAAAAAAGTTATTGAGCGGCTGGGTATAGTGGCTCATAGCTGTAATCCCAGTTACTCAGGAGGTAGACATGGGGAGGATTGTGGTTTGAGACCAGCCCTTGGAAATAGTTGTCAGACTCTATCACAACTAATAAAGCTGGGCACAGTGGTGTCCTCCTGTCATCCTAGCTATTCAAGAGGCATAAATAGGAGAATCGCAGTCCAGGCTGGCCCTGGTCATAAATGTGAGACCCTATTTGAAACACAACTGAAGTGAAAGGACTGTGGGTGTAGTTTAAATGGTGAAGTGCCTGCTCAGCGAGTGCAGGGCCCTTAGTTTGAACTTGAATACAGCCCCAAAACATTATTGAGGACACTGGAGGGTTTTGTGTACGAGTTTTAGCTGTTGGTATTTAGTATATGAGAAATCAAAACTGAAAAAAGATAATTTGAGTTCAGGATGTAAGCTCAGTGTTAGAGCACTTGCTTAGCATGCATTAGGACCTGGTTTCTATCCCTGGTACCAGTGGAAATAAAAAGATGTTAGTTCATTCAAAAATAATGATAATAAATGGACTGTATGTTAACCTGTTGTTTGTTTAAATAACTGTCTTACAAAATAAAAATAGCAACAACAACAACAAAATAACAGGAAAGAATGGCATTGCTTTCATTGTCTCACTGTCTAGTTTATTTGAGCACAACAGGGTTGTTGTGTCTGCTTGTGTGCTCAGTCTGCTGTGATACGTGATTTTGGTTTGTAGATAAAAATGTGACCTCACACATAGCTAGGTGGAAAGGGAGGAATATTTTAATAGCCCTTTTCAAATAATTGGGGATATTTGAATTTATACCAAAACTTGACCTGTGGTAGTACTCTAGAAATTAGTTGCAGTGTGGCATCTGAAACCATCTCAGGGAACTTGTACCGTTAGATTAATACCCATTGGTCTGCCTTGTACTTCTGATGAACCTTTTACCTGTTTTTTTTTTTTTAAACACCATGGAATATATTGGTTTACTGAGTTACATAGGTGTTCCAAATGTTGACATATTTCATTATACAAAATAAAAGTCACCTTTGTTAATACTATCACCAGTCTTATCAGAAAAGTCTAACTGCTGGAAGTTATCAAGCTCTCAATGATGAATTTAAGTTTTTTCAAAATCAAGCTTTCAAATGAAAATTCAGATTTTTATCATTGGCAACTGTTGTGGCTTGACATGAAGTTTTCCCTTCCCCGAAAAAGACTCCTATATTGTAAAGGCTTGGTTGCCCGCTGATGAGCTTTTGGGAAGTGACTGGATCATGAGGGTTCTAATTTCATCAGTGGATTAACCATTCATTGATAGATTCTTTTTTATTTTTTGCTGGTACTGGGGCTTGAACTCAGGGCCTTCACTTTCAGCCACTCCACAGCCCTATTTTTGTGAAGCGTTTTTCAAGATAGGGTCTCGCTGAACTATTTGCCCTGTCTGTCTTTGAACCAAGATCCTCCTGATCTCTGCCTCCTGAGTAGCTAGGGTTACAGGTGTGAACCACCAGTGCCAGGCCATTGATAGATTCTTAATTTGATGGCATTATTGGGAGGTGGTGAAGGTAGGAGGTGGAGGAAGTTGGTCACTGGAGGTGTGTCTTTGCAGGGCGTTCCACAGCCGTAATCCCTCCCTTTCTCTGCTTCTGGGGCCATGAGGTGAGCAACTTTGCTGCCTCACATCTTTCTGCCATGATGGACTGAAGCCTTTGAAACCATGAGCCAAAATAAATGTTTCCTGTCTTTTATGTTGATTTTGTTACAGGACGAACAGTGACTCACACAGCAACAGTGAATCCCCTTGGCTGTCTTCTTGACTCCACAGTTGTCTCGCAGACGTTTTTTGTTTGGTTTTGCTTTTGTTTTTTGGGCATTGCTGGGGTTTGAACTCAAGGCCTAGTGCTTGCATGTAATCTGCCATTTTAGCCATGCCTCCAGCAGAGGGGCTTCCTGCTTTCAAATAAAAACAGTGTCAAATGAAACAAAAGCAGCAACTTCAGGCTTCACTTAAAACAGTCCCACATCATCCGTTCGTCTGTACAGCAGAGGGCTTTACATGTACTTCATATTTAGTCATGCCTAGTCTTTCTTTAATAGACAAGAACACTCTTATATAAGTGAAACTATCTCCCCCCCACCAGTCTCTCTCCTCCTCCCTCTGTCCCTCCTTCCTTGCTTTTCTTTTCAACACTGAGAGGCATGGTGTGAATAATACAGTGACTACAAGTGAAGCTTGGTGCTACCGCCTTGATTCGTGTTAAGGAGCTGGCAGAGTTACCTACCATTGCTTTTATACCTTTTGGTGTAAATGTCTACTCACTAGGGAGAGGTGGGAGAGGGAAGTAGAATGGTGGTGGGTGTAAAAAGTGGATATTAAAAAATGTTAACACAGTGAGAAAAGCAAATAATGTCATAGTGTTATTTTTAATAGTGTTATTTTGAAAAGTGTTAACCTACGGTACCTCCTGGGAAGATTTCAGGGACCCCTAGGGCTCGGTAGAGCATACTTTGATGACTGCTATTTTTGATTAATAATATAGTTGAATATTTGTTTGCATACTTTATGAACAAATACTTATTTCATATTTATTATTTTGTTCATCTGTTTTTATTGAAGTGTTTCTTTACTAATCGCTAAGAGCTTTTTATATGTGTTTCATATTTGTTCCAAAACTTCTCTCCTTCTCATTTGTTATTTGTTTCCAAATATCTATTACAGTCTACAGCCATACCACCCTGAATGCCCCCGATCTTGTCCAAATATCTACTACAAAGTTTTTTTTTTGGCTATGTAGCCCAGGCTGACCTTGAACTCTCAATCCTCCGGTCTCAACCCTATCAAGTCTGGGATTATAGATGTGAACCATCATTACTGGCATGATTTTAGAATTTAGAACTTACAAATTTTATATATTATCTTTATTATTATTATTCTTTTAGGATTTCTTCCTTTTGCGTTGGAGGTTTTTTGTTTGTTTCCTTGTTTGGTCCTTTCTTCATTCCAAGAGTATGTAAATATACTCACTCATATCCTTTTGGTTTTTTAATTTTTATCATTTACTTACCTGTCTGAAATTTTTAGGTGTTAATTTTGAGGCAGAAATTTTTTTTTTTTTTTTTTGGTTAGGTAGAACTTGGGTTTGAGACACTCTGCCAGCCCTTTTTTGTGTTGGATATTTTCCAGATAGGGTCTCTTGAGCTGTTTGCCCAGGCTGGTTTCTAATTGAAATCCTTCTGATCTCTACCTGAGTAGCTAGGATTACAGGTGTGAGCCACTGGTGCCTGGTTAACTATTTTTTTCTAAATGTTTGCCCCCGATTGTACCATATATAGACCTATATAATCTACCACATTTTTATTTATAATTTCATTCATTTGTGGTTGTTGATTACCTTTTTGTTTTTGAAACTGAAATTTTATGTTGGGAGCTGATTTTTCTTTTTCTTTTTTTTTTTTTTTTTTTAGGACAGGTTCAAGGCTGGCCTTGAACTCTTGGTCTTCCTGCCTTAGCCTTAGGCTGGAGTTCTAGGCATGTATCCCTACACCTGGCTTGGCCTTTTTAAGTCCAGTCATATTAGAGACTTAAAATTTCAGAACAAAGGTTATTTTGTAGAAATCAGAAATTTTAATGCATTCTTTTGATTAAGCATAGTCTGTATTTGTGGTCTGTATTCATTTTAGCAAGGAGTACTTAAACAAGAGTCAGTCTTGTAATTAGCTTTTACAGTCCTGTCTGAACTGGTTGTATCAGTTAGCTGCATTAGAACTGGTGATAATGATGCCAAGATCAAAGGTTTGCTTTATTGGATAGTTAATTTCATGGCAGGAGAAACACTTCCATCTTAGATCTTGACATTTTAAAAGAAAATATAGCTGTCTGAGTAGAAATTATTATTATTACTGCTATAGAAACAATTAAAAGATAACTTGTGTTTTAAAGGTGACTTAAGTATCATTTTTAAGGACCTTGCCTTTCAGCATATTGAAGTGCTTTAAGCACTTGTTTCTTGCTTTTGTTTTCCTCCCTACAAATTTGCCATTTTAATTGAAATTTTTAATTTTAATTAAGTTGTTAAGGTGACCCAACACTTTAAATGGTCATCTTGGAACTACATGTGAAGTTTCCTTATGCTAGTGGCAATATGTAATTTAACTTTAAGCATTTGTAACTTGCATTTCAGTTAACCTTTTCTTAATTTCCTTATTTGGCGCATGTAAACTCATTTGAACCCTGGAAGAAATCTGTGAGGTCTTTGGAAATATAACTGTCTAATTAGGACAGTCTTGATTTTTGAGGTCTTCAGAAGGAAGATACACATCAAATAATACCAGTTATCAAAGGGTCTAATAGGTTTCACAGGGGTCTGAGCGTGTTAAAGTTAAGTGGCGTGGCATACTGTTACAATACTTGAAGCAAGTAGCATCTTTTTATCAAGACCTCTTCAGGATATAAACATTTAAAAGGGGGAAACCTTTATGTCAGAAGCTAATTATTTTTTTCTTTTCTTTTTTTGTGAGATTGGGGTTGGAACACAGGGCTTTGTGCTTGCCAAGCAAGGTGCTGTACCTCTTGAGCCATACCTCTACTCCAGCTAATTATTATCTTATCATTAAAAATTATAGCATTTAAGTTGAGTGAGGTGACCCAAGTCTGTAATCCTAGCTACTTGGGAGGTAGAGCACAGTCCAAGGCCAGCCCCTTAAAAAAAATTCAAGAGACCCCCATCTCCATCAGTGACTGGGCCCAGTGGTATATCCATTGTCCCATCTACATGAGAAGTATAAATAGGAGGATTTCAGTATAGGCCACCTGGGCTTAAAGTGAGACTATCTCAAATAAAAGCTCATAATAGTAGCTAGTCAGAATGCAGAGATCAGGAGGCTCGAGGTTCAAAGCCAGCCTGGGAAAATAGGTCATGAGACCCTATCTTGAAAATATCCAATACAAAAAAAGACTGATGGAGTGGACCAAGTGGTAGAGTGCCTGCCTAGCAAGTGGGGAGATCCTTGAATTTAAACCCCATTACTGCCAAAAAGAAAAAAAATAAAAGAAAAAGAATTATTGCACTTAACAAAATAAGCATTGTTCGATACCATATTTCTACACATTCTCCTCTAAGCTTGTTTTGCAAAATGGAGTGCAAAATGTTGCAGCTTTTGTTTAAAAGAATTAAAAGAATCCCAAACCTCGTTAGTGATAGACACTGCCATCTCACCCCCTCTTCCCATGGGAATGACTGTAATGGATGAGCCCTTTCCTCCAGAGGTATTGGAGAGGGGATGGAGCATGTCTTCCTTTGATATTTTATTCCAGGACCCCTTGTTGAAGTATAGAGTGTCTCCCTTGGTACCTTTTCCTTGCCTGAACTGCCTTTCTGACCCTCTTGGATTTGTTTTGCCGTCATTGTTTGTGTATGATGTTTTGATACTTGACAGGTTTCACCTTTTATGTGTCCTGGACTCTCTCTCTTTGCCTTGTGTTGTTTTTACTCCATTACTGAAGTGTCTGACAAAAGAAGTCCATCCTTGCCAGGAGCTGATGGCTCATGCCTATAATCCTAGTTGAAGTCAAGACCCCAACTTCAAAATAACCACAGCAAAATGGGCTGGAAGTGTGGCGTAAGTGGTAGAACACCTTGCTTTGCAAGCATGAAGTCCTGAGTTCAACCCTCAGTCCCACCCAAAAATAAATAAGTAAAGAAAGAAAGAAAGAAAGAGGTTCATTCTTGTAACATAGCATATGTCCTTCTTGTTATAAGGCCATCTAATCTGTCTGTTTATTTATTGATTGATTGTTTGGTTGATTGTGGTACCAGGGGTTGAACTCAGGGCCTCCTGCTTTGCTAGGCAGGTGCTCTACCACTTGAGCCATACCTCCAGTCATTTTTCATGTAGTTATTTTTGCGATAGGGTCTCGCTCTATGCCTGAGCTGGCCTGGATCACAATCCTCTTCATTTATTCTTCTTTATGTAGCTGGAATGGCAGGTGTTTACCACAGTGTTCAGCTTTTTGCCCAGGCTGGCCTCAAACCTTGATCCTCCTGCTCTTTGCCTCCCAAGTAGCTAGGATTATAGGTGTGAGCCATTGCACCCCACTGGCTCTTTATAAGGCCATCTTTTTAAAACCTGAGTGTATGTCATACATTGTTTTTGTAAGAATAGAGATGTGATTTATCAGGAGGCATTTATTCATAATACAATAGTACTTGCTGTGGGGTTGGCTTATGTATTTTGAATAGCTTTTTAATCTAAATTTTAAATAAAAGTAAAATTTTCCTAACTTGCAATATCCCATCTGCCATAGGGTTGGACTGGTCTGAAGAAAGCGGAGAAGAACTGGAGGACTCAGAGCAGGCCTCACCATATCAGGTTGCATGGTCCATCCGAGAAACCCTCAGATACGAAAGAAACATGTAAGCCTTTCTTTTGAGTTTTTCCCTTAGATTTGTAGCAGATAAACTTTTTCCTATTGATGCTAATATTTTTATTTTGCTGGGTCTAGTTTTATTATAATAAAGGTAAATTAGATTCCATTTGTGAAGAAATGAACCCTGTTGTTTGAACAAAGCTAATTTTCTTGGTAAGTTTGTTTCTACACCTTTCCCATTCACCACTGAAGGAACCAATATAATAGACTTTAGAGTTGAAAGGGACCGTAGAGATTACTGAATCAATGTCCTCATCTTTCAGAGAAGGAAAGCAGGTTAGGGAACTTGCCCATGGTAAGTTTGCAGGCTACTTGGGAGTCCCACTGTATGCTTCTTTGGCCCTATCCCTTCAGTAGCTAGAAATAATACATTTTACCTTACCTGTCTTCTGCAACATCAATCCATTTTTTAATATTTCTGCTGTGCTGAAATGTTATAAGTTAAATCTCCTTTAGGAGTTCTACCTGCCTTTTTCAGAATGGAGTTTCAGTATTCAGATAGCCCTCTTAAATGTTTTTCCAAATTTTCCTGGGAAGATGTTTGTGTAAGGTTATAGTATATTAGTGCACATTTTCTTCAGTAAGAAATAGTGAGACAACTTTTCTTTTAGGTGGCTGCTTTAGCAATGTAGGAATTCACTTGCTGCAGCGTAATAAAATCAAGAGAAGTCCTTATGTTGGAGGCCAGAAGATGACTCAGACTTGGCTCTTTATTCATTTAAGCAATGATGCCCAGCAAGATAGAGGAGAGACCACTTCTCTGCTCCAGGCACCCTCTAGAAATTCATAGTATCACCATATGGATTTACAATTTAGGCTATGGTTCTTGAATTCGTAGGATTAAAAGTGTCATTTGTGGGCTGGTAGAGTGGCTCAAGTGGTAGAATGCCTGCCTAGCAAGCTTGAGGCCCTGAGTTCAAACCCCAGTACTGCAAAAACAAAACAAAACATAAAAGTGTAATTTGTTAATATACCAGAAGATGATTAGGCTTAGAAAACTCATTCTCTAGAAACTAATCTATAAATTAAAACTATAAGAGAAGCAAGTTATAATCAGAAATTTACATGGAAAAAAAGAAATTTACTTGGGCATGGAATTAGAGCAAAGAAAGGCGGATTTAATTTTACACACACATACATACAAACACACACACATACAAACACACACACACTTTTGTTGTTTACACTTAAGACCATCCTCAGTTTTCTTCATCTGTAGCAGTTTTCTCCCTTGGCCACTCTACCTTGTCTACCATGGTAGTCGACTTTCCTGGTTCTTCTTTTCCTTCAGTTTATTTTTCTTCTCTTTTACAAGTAATTCTCTTCTTGCCTGGCTATAGGTTCCTCCCCCTTGGTTCATTCATTTTCAGCTTACTCTTGTTGGACTCTTAGGTGCTAGTCTTGGAGTACGCTATGTTTCTTCAGTTGGGTGGATCTGAGATTCAGCTGGTTTACCATCCCTTACGCCTACAACACATCTGTATGTGCTTCCCTGCCCTCTCCTAGGAAACCTTGTTCTGTGTTTTAAACTATCCATGGAAATCTTTATTTCCGATTTTTTATTGCAGCCACCTACCTTTAATGTACCTTACTGTGTTTAAATGTAAAAGAACATGGAGAGCTGTAGAAGATTGGCCCTACTTAGCCTGTACATTATATCTTCCAGAATGTTTTGCCATTTAAAATTACTCATTGATTTTATTGAGTTTTTGGAAGAAAAAGGCTGTGCATTGAACCCAAGATCCTGTATGTGTTGAGCATATACTCTGCCACTGAGCTATACTCCCAGCCGTGTTGTGTTATGTGTATGTGTATTTAATTTGTAGTGTTCAGATCATTTAAATTTAGTGTGATCATTGATATTTTTGTGTTTAAATCTAATATGGTAGTTCTTTAAATTCTTATTTTAACTAACCAGTGAAGCCATTTGGTGGTGTGGGCTTTTTTTTCTTTGTGGGAAGTTTTTTGTTACTAATATAGTCTCTTGTTTTAAATTTATTTACATTTTCATTTTCTTTTTCAGTTAAATTCAGAAGCTTCTGTCTATCTACAAACTTGTCTATTTCATCTTCATTATCTAATTTATTGATGCCTTTTTTTTCTTTTGGCAGTACTGAGGGTCAAACCCAGGTCCTTGCACATTCCAGGCAGGCACTGGTTTTGAACTTGTGATTCTCCTTCCTTAGTCTCCCAAGTAGCTGAGGCTACAGGCATCTACTTACCATCCCCAGCTATATTGCCGTACTTTTCAAAATTAATATTCCTTATAGTCTTTTTTCTTTTCTTTTGGTACTGGGGTAGCAGGCACTATACCACTTGAGCCACTCCTCCAGCCTTGTTTTTTTTTGTGTGTGTGTGTTGGGTATTTTTTTGAGATAGGGTCTCTTAAATTATTTGCCTGGGCTGACTTTGAACAGAGATCTTCTTGATCTCTGCCTTCTGAATAGCTAGGATTACAGGAGTGAGCCACCAGCACCTGGCTTTTTTTCTTTTCTTTAACATAGGTAGATCAAATCTACTTTTTCATTCCTAATTTTTTTAGTCCTAATTCCCCCCCCATCTAGCTTGAAATTTTGTTTATCATTTCTGAGAACCAATGTCTGTATCACTGATTTTTTTTGCTACCATAGTTTCTTTTTTTTTTTTTCATGTATTTATTTCTTCTGTTTTTTTCTAGTTTTTTTTTTGGGGGGGGTTGTGTGTGTATGTGTGCATGTATGTGAACTGGCGTTTGAACTTAGGGCTTCTCACTTGCAAATTAGGCGCTCTGTTGCTTGAGCCATACCACCTAGTTTCTTAAATTATAGAATGGTTTGGCATCTTTCTTTTTAAACATAGATGTTTAGAGCTGAAGAGGATGAAGTTTCTTGATAAACTTCATCAGTAAGTTATGGTATCTGTGCTTCATTTTTGGTTATCTCAAAATATTTTACTTTTATTTTTGTATTTGGAGCTTTCTCACCTTACTCTTTTTTTCTTTCTTCTTTTGGCAGCACTGGGGTTTGAACTCAGGGCCTCGCACTTGCTAGGCAGCCACTCTTACCACTCAAGCCATTTTTACTAATTTGAGCCATCTGCCTGCTGTATTTTTTTGCGGTACTGGGATTTAAACTCAGGGCCTACGCTTTGAGTCACTCTACCAGCCCTTTTTTGTGATTTTGTTGTTGTTGTTGTTTGAGGTAGGGTCTCTTGAACTGTTTGCCCAGGTTGTTTTTGTACCATGATCCTCCTGATCTCTGCCTCCTGTGTAGCTAGGATTATAGGCGTGAGCCACTGGCACTTGGCATATTTTGGGTTTTTTGATCCACAGCCTTGCCATGTGGCTAAGGCAGGTCTTGAACTCAGTGTGTAGCCCAGGTTGGGCTCAAACTCTTGATCCTCCTGCCTAGTCTCCCAAGTACTAGGATTACAGGCATGCATCACCATACCCAGCTCTTATTTTCTTTGTGATTTATATTTTTGGCCCATTGATTATATAGGAGTATGCTTAATTACATATTTATAAATTTCTCAAATTTCATTCTTTTTGAGCGGATCAATATTTTTATGGTAAATACACATAACAAAATCCACAATTTTAACTTTTATAAAGGATATAGCTTATAGGCATTTAGTACATTCATAATATTGTGTAATCATCACTATATGTAGTTCCAGAACCTTTTCATCTTCCCAAAAGGAAACCTCATACCCATGAAGTATTCATTAGTCATTCTTCATTATCTTTTTTCCTGACCTCATCAACCACAGATCTGTTTTCTTTGTCTATAGATGTATTGGTTCTTGCTATTAAATAAATGGAATTGTACAGTATATGGCCTTTTGATGTATAGTTTATCCTTTTTTTTTTTTGCTTTTATTTTGAGATAGTGTCTTGCCCAGGCTAGCCTTGAACTTGAGATCCTCATGATGCCTTAGCCCCTTGAGTGCTGTGATTATAGGTGTGCATCACTGTGCCCAAACTGAGGTATATTTTGTCTTACATTAATATATCTACTTTCATACTTTCACTGTTGCTGTTTGCATATCAATCCTTTCTATCTATTTACTTTCAGTCTATTTGTGTCTGTTTCCCAACTGCAACAAGGAGCATACTCCAGATGAGTATTCAGTTTTACAAGAGGTTTGTTTTCTGAAGTGTTTGTACCATTTTACACTCCTACCAGAGCATATGAGCATTTTCATTGCTCAATATCCTTTCCAACATTTGGAGGTATCAGTTGTTTAGTTTTAGGTATTTATCTTAGTTTGTTTTCTGTTGACTGACTGAATTATAATGAATGAGGTTTATTTTTGCATACATTTCTGGAGGCTGCTGCTGGCAATCTGCTTGCCTTTTGGTGAGAGCCACATGTGTGTCATACCATGGCAGAAGAGCAGGTGGACACTGCAGAGGAAACACAACCCGACGAGTGGTCTTGCTTTGTAACTACCACCTCTCACAGTAACCAGTCCAGTCCTGCAAGAATTAATACACCCTGAGAGGAAGACATTGTTCTCTTTTAAGGACCTAAAGACCTCCTAACTGCTCCACCTCCCTACACCTTGGCATTGAGATCAATGAATTAGGGAACACATTGAAACCATGAAACCCAGGGCCTCCCCCTGAGTGCTAGGCAAGCATTCTACCACTGCGCTGAACCCCTGGCCCTTCAAACCCTACTTGTTCTTATGAGGTGTGAAGTGGTATCTATCTCATTGCCATTTGACTCTGCATTTCTTTGATAATTGATGATGTTGCTCTCTTTTGCATAGACTTATTATTGGACATTCAAAATCTTTTTTTGAAAGTTTGCTTTTCTGGAAGTATGTCTTTTGACTCTTCTTCCCGCCCAGTGCTAGGGCTTGAAACCTGGGCCTCGTACTATTAAACTTCTACCCCAGCCCCACCTCCTTTTCGATACATCAGTAGATGGGATGAGCAGACATGTGATTAGGACTCTTGTTTTTTTTTGGCGGGGGGGGGCGGTTGAGGGAGAGGGAGGC